TGTGTGCATTAAAAGCGTTGCCTAGCAATTGGCACAACAGGAGACTGATGAAGTCAGAAAAACAGAAAAAAAAACTTGGAGTGCCTTCACATTCTTGTCTCGGGGACACGCCCAGCTCTCAGAGAGAGGAAATGGGGCCGAGCAGAGTGTTTAAACTCCGTCCTGCGCCTGACGCTGAACTGATCGCAGGGAGCTCTTCCAGGGCCGTCTGAGGCAGCTTTCAGGAAGTCAAGCAGCGTGCAGAACTTGCACATAGGAAGTGCTGTACAAAAACACCCAGCCTGCCGCTGTGTGCGCTAGCTTCCCAAAACGAACAGCCCCCGTTCGATTCCCGACACTACACGACGCTTCCCGACAGGGCGGCTGGATCGGCACGCGGTTCAGCCGGAGCCGGAGCTTCCTTCTGGAAAACTGCCTGTCCGTGAAGGAACGCTGTCTGCAGGCTGATACAGGACATGGGCAATACCGCAGCCAGGAAGATGCAAGTCCAAGACACATGGGCAGCATTGTGTTGGCACTGCAGAAGATGCAAATCTCCAGCTGTAATTTCAGACTGTCTACCAGACAATGGGCCAGCCCTCTCTCTTCAGCGAGGGCAGATGGAGCGTGTGGGTGAGGAGGAATGCAGGTGATCTACAGATCTTATGTCGCAATGGAAACAAACTGGGCCGTTCTCATTCCTTCCTTCCTCATGCAGCTTCTCTTCTTCCTCATCTAGCTGGTTTGGCTGCTTGTAGCTACTGTAATCGATCTCAGCGTCTCATCCAGGTGTGTCTTGAAATACGCTGGTGTATCAGCTTCAACAACATGCTTGAGCGTCTTGTTCCAGACCTCTACAGCCCTTAGTGTACAGAAGTGCCTCTTTCATAACTCCGTAGAGTCAAATGTTGGCAATTCTTTCAGAAGGAGCAGATAAAACTTTAAGCTCTTAACCTTAAAATCATACTACAGTGCAAATGCTTCTGAGTAACAGACATTGGACACAAAATCCTAAATTCCTCCTGGCCTTTACCAATGAACTGGCTTCATCACTCTGCTCTCCTCCCCACTGAGATCTGGTGTGTGAGGAGCGTACTGGTGCACTATGGCTACGTGACTATCTGAGATAACACCCCTACTCTTCCAGACACTGCTGTGGGATCTGTACTGAGTACACAGGCAGGAGCTTCGTGTCTCAGGCAAAGATCAGCACCGGCTACTGCACGGTGCACCATTCTGGGGCATTGGCCCAGAGGGAAGAGCTCCCCCTACTGGTCCACCAGCACCACCTACAGCAGCAACCCCATTTTTCTTAGTGGTCTTCCTCTTAGGCACTGGCCGGGCCTGGGGCTGCGGATCCGGACGCAAGGTCTAGCCCAGCACTGGCCGGGCCTGGCACTGTGGATCGTGATGCAGGATCAGCACTAC